AGTGATTACCATATATTATATCTCTACCTAAATAAAGTAATTTTTTATTCGATTGTTTACATATATATATTGTATATAGAACATATGTATGATTCCATTACAATTTATAATGAGTTCTTATGTACCGTGAGTAAGTCGTATTAAATGTATGTATTAGGTTAGATTAGGCTTATATTTTAAGTTCAATACTCATTAGAGTCTTATACTCTCATCCATACCATATGATGGATGTATCATGATTTGTGGATCATTTCATTAAAATACTAAGATAATACTTCCTCAGTCACACATATAAATACTTTAACTGACCTAGTCACTGGACTAAATATAGCAGCTAGGGATAGCCGGTGATAAGAGAGTCACAATCTGTACAATATTTAATGAAAATTAATGCGTGAAGGGCAAAAAAAGGAATACCTATTACAGTAAAACCTGTATATATAACGGACAGTCACGGGACCAAAATAATTATCCGTTATAGACAGGTGTCCGTTGTAGACAGGTTTCCATGTTTTAAAAATTAAAATTTTTATGAACATTTGTATTGTTTAATATTTTATAATATGTGCATATTAGGTATAATCTTTAATAATATTATACACATACATTCTACATTATGAATTTAATTTTAATTATTTATTACAACCTATGACACATAATAAATTTATTATATGTGCATACTATTATATTTGTATACATTTATAAATTATTATATTTATTTTTTTTGTTATTTTTAAATCCAATCTTATTAATAATATTTAATACGTAACATATATCATGTAAACAATGTAAACTCTTTGTTGCCAATGGCCATAGTTACCGAGGCTTATTTTAAATAAAATAAAAAAAAATTATTTTTTAAAAAATGATGATTTGTTTCTCCAACTTCGATTTGGTCATTTCCAACTTGTGATGAATAATTAATTCACTCACATATGAAAATCCTTTTCATCGCCTTTATTTAAATAAAATTCTTTCAGACGAATAAGTTGTTCAAGAGCTTCTGAATAATTTGCAAACGTCTTAATTTCAAAATTATCCGTGTTTTCACTGAATGACTTAATTTCGTTCTTTATCGACGCTGTTTCGTAATATGTATGTATGTATTTTTGTCTGTTATGAAATTGTTGGATTAAATATTAGTGTCTGTGTCCGTAATAGAAGGAGTCCGTTATAGACAGGTCGAAATACATTAGAATGCCTATCTTTTTGCCGGGACCTGGTCATTTTGTCCGTTAAGAGAGGTGTCCGTTATAGACAGGTGTCCGTTAAGTCAGGTTTTACGGTATTATATTAGTAAAAATGTTAAGATGCGAACTGTGGCTTGGCCATCGCCCCTGGCCCCTGCTACTTATATTATAATATATAGGTATAGGCACGCCTATAATAAACGTATGTAATTATACCTATACGTATGTAGTATGTATAATAAAGTTAATAAAAGTTTATACCCATAGATGATGGAAAACCGAACTACAGAAGTGTAGAAGAACGTTAATTTAAATCTGATTATTTCATATTTTCATGTCATTCTGATAAAACATCCAAACTCATACTAGTCATACTTATGAGATAATACGCTTATTATATATTTATATATTCTTATGGCTTATAGGTACCCATATCACCTTAACGATCCTATAGATAGTAAAATAAAAATCATATGGACATTTCTGAAATTTTCATTATTATAGAAGTTATAGTAAATTAGTAAATTATAATTATACCTTGTCCACGGTGCACCTATACTAAAATTATCTGATATCGTATAAAACTGTAAGTAAAATCATTGAGTACCTAACCTAACCTACCTATTCAACTATAAAGTTCAATTTGTTATTAATTTTTAATTGCTATATATTATAATACATATGATGTATTACGTAGGTACTTCAGTACCTGTATGAATGGCGAGGTGTGATAAATAGAAAAAATAAAGTAACTGCGGCAAATGACGTCAATTTTATACAAAGCTATAAAATGTTCATTATATTCTGTGTAAAAATAATATACACAATAGGTACCTATAATAACATTGTACTTATGTACCACAATTATACGTCAGACGTATTAAAATTGTATATTTTCTTAGTGGAGCCAATGGTGGACATAATAATATATTGTATACCGTATACGCAGACTGCAGAGTATTGTGCAAAATATAGAATATATTATATATATGTGGTTAAAAAATACTGATTGCTCAGTGGCATGCCTAACCATGAATTATACTTTTTAAAATATATTTTATACCTATTAGTTAGGTATTTATTATTTATGAATGACATAATTTCTTAAGAATTTTATATTACTACAGTACATCATACAAAGTTGTGAATTGATCTTCGAACACTAGAACCGAATTGTTTTCATAATAATAAATAATAATATTGGTTNGGGGGGGGGGGGGGGGTTGGCACCTTTATCAAAAATAGGTTATAGGTATACTACACAACATGCAAATTAGGATTTTTTAAAATGTTTGTCACAAATATAATATATGTAATATGTATATATAGATACTTAGAATGCTAAAATGTCTATAAAAAAACTTATGAAGAAGTGAGAGTAGAATAAAGAAATAGGTACATACATGTAGGCTACAAGAAATGAATTGTCCTACCTATATATATTCGGACATGCGGTGTCCTCACACTTGTCGCCAATCACGCTTCTATAAAGTCATTCTCACCTAGTCAACGGCGGCGACGATTAAACTTTATCCTAATCAAAGTTGTTAATTATGTAAAATATTAATCAAAACTTTAAATTTAATTATTTAGTCAGATGAAAATACTATAATACATTTTTAATGGGAAATAGATTCAAATTGATACTCTTCCTTGTGGATTCCTTGCGTAAAAAAAATTGTGTACTCACGTAGAAAGTGTATGGGCAGATTTTAATCCTCGTAGATATAGTTGAAAATATGCAATAGGATTTATAGAAAAAAAATTAATGATGGTCCTTCGCCATCTTTACTGCCGTAGTAAATAGTAAAACGATGGTAGCGTCTAAAAAAATGATAAAGACAACCATTTAAATGTTTTCTAAGATGCGTCAAATCTTATTTTTAATTTTTATAAATAATTATAATATTGTATACAGTCATACATCTATAGTATCTACGTAATGTCGTATTGTCAATAATATAAAAAAAATAATAAAAATAAATCATTGTATTTAGAATTATAAAATTAAAAAATAGATTTAAAAAAAAATAGATAATTAGATAACAGCTTGCCATAAAATATTTATTTGTGCACCTATTGATTATTATTGAACGATGTTTTACTAGATAATATTTTAATATATTGTATGGATTTGTAATATTATTATTTCTATATATTAATGTATTTATTGATATTTAGATATTAGATTAAATACCTATAAAAAACATGTTTACCTAATGCGTTATTATGACGTAGGTATAGAAACATGCGGTATTGAAGGTAGACAAGAATTCCGAAGCTTATATAATTCAATAATGCATTAGGTATATTTTCAAGCATATTAACCGGGTAAAAACATTTTAATAAACACATAATTAAAAATATTGAAAATTCCAAATGCCTACAATAATAGCTTACACTAATTAGTATGAATAATCTGAAAATTTCACATTGTGTCCGTAAAATAATAACATTGTATGAAAGTTGCTATAATACCAATACTGAATATAACATTCATCACTTAGCTCGAAATCTAATTATTTATAATTTTTTATAATAATATTAAGTTTGTAGTGTGTTCTCAATGAAATAAAAGAAATAAATTTAAAAATCAAAACTAACTTAAAGGTTGAAATGATCAAAATTCAAAAGTAAGTTAAGAAATAATAGATTTCCTATTGAACGTTAGTGAGCTCAAAAACACATCTCATAATTATACTCACTAATCTAAAACCAATGAAATTAAATAGAAATTTAAATAAAATTTTTAGATGTATGTCACTACTGGGTGGCTTCTTCCAACAACTCATTCACGTCTTTTGTAAATTAGCTCATATTCTTATTGTGTCTCTGGGTACTACAGATGGTATATTTTTTATAACAATAAAAAAAAACATAAACTAAATTTTCATAGTTTGCAAAGTCTCAACATATTCAAACTTTTTAAAGTAAGTATCTAGCATTCTAACTCCATTTCTTTGCCTATAGAAGTAGTGGTGGGGCTTAAATCGGAGAAGGCCTTGGGCTTTTGCAGCAGAAACTTGATCTTATGAATTTCCACAGGTTCGATAAAAAAATATCCATCTCCTTTTTTCAACTTAAATTGTTACCGATTAAAAGTATCCAGTTTCCACCAAAGCCGTAGTAGAAACAAGAAACTAGAATCTAGAAGCAATTATTAGGTTTATCATAAGATGATTTGAGAGTATGAGGTTGAGTTAAACGGATAATGCCCTATGCGCCCACCCCCAATAAAGGTGAGCGCCAAAGTCTGAGTGTGACACTCAAATAAAACATCACAAAAAGTTTTGTGGTGTGCTTTCTGGTATTGTTGTTTGCGAACAGTGTAATATTATGTAATCAGCAGACAGCAATCACTAATCAGTAGGACCGGTACATGCCGATACACGGAAATACGGTACACGGTGGACAACAACGCATCGAATTAACTAATACCTATGACAAAATAGTCAAAATAGAACTTAATTTTGACGTACCTACACAACAAGTCACATTAACGTCTAACGATTTACGAATATTAACAAGTAGGCCGTACTCAATTGTGGCAAACTGGTAACGACGAAATGAGTAATGAGTAATGACAATTGACAGAAACAACAGTCAACAACACAATAACACCACAATACCGACGGGCGGCAACAGAGCTTTCGGTAGCCGTGTGTCCGGCTTGATTTTCGACCAATGACATGGCACCTCACGTCGCGCGTTGCCCGGTTCATGGCCCCGCCACCCCGGTGAAGGGCCGTGGTGGTGCTGCGCGGCGCACTTGTTTATGTGCCGAACAGCTGTTTGTGAACAACAACAAAGACTCGTGCGACGGCGATCGTGCCGAGGGCCGAGATAGGTTTCAGTATAGTAATAATAATATTACCATTTGCCATTTATCATTATTATTACAACAGTTTCGTTTTCGTATGCGTTGCATTAGTGCACTACGCTTTACGCTTCTGACCGACTTCACACGCACAACTTCGCTGCACACCTCACCACACACGTCGATCATCATAATATTGTATTATTGGACTTATTTTCCGTTTTTGCCGACGTTGTTGTCTCGTCTCACGCGCGTCCCATGAAACGAACGCCACTGTTGATCGTCCACTTAACAGACGCCGTCGCCGCGCCACGACCGCCGCGTTATTGAGTATCGGCTATTGCACCTTGGGGACGACGGACGCTATGAATCGCTGTCCCGCGATGAATTCGCAGTACGATGTCGAGCGGCGGTCCCGGTGCCCGGCGGCGGCGGTACATAAGCCGTCGCCCGACACCGATGACTTGCACGCTTGTGAGCGAATTGTCGTCATGTTCGTACAGCTCAAAAACTACTTGGGCTCGTATTGGCTGGTCCCATGGTTTTTCGTCTACATCTACCCCAGCATACTTGTCTATGAGTGAGTGTAACGCCTAAAGTTAATGGTTGATGTTTATCGGGTGTACGGTCTAAAGCCAGTATCTTCGGACTCGTGTTCTACTGCTGGTTGTTTGGTAAATATCTATCATGGTGATGTTCGACACCCTCCTTTCTAGCCCGCAGCCCATGCATACGTTTGTGTCAGTGGTATGTACTCGATGGTTAATGAGAATTCAATATTCATTGGTATACTCTCCAAGGGTTTCTGATGTGTGGACATTGCCTTTATGAGATTTTACTATTAGCCATTCTATTTTTCATTTATATTTCTGTGCTTACTATTTAGTGATTGATAGCATCTCTTCAGATCCTATTAATAATTTTTTTACAAGTACATTTTTATAGCCTTAATGCTGAAATATTACTTATCATTTTTTTATTTTTGTAATATAAACAAAAATGTTAGTTGGACAAGCTCCAAATTTTACACTAAAATTAAGAAAAAAAATATTCAGTGTCCTATTAGAACAGATTTAATTCCCATAGACTTAATTTTTAACCTTTCATATCATTTGACAAATTGTATTAAAAATAATCCATACCTATTTCCATATTATTTTACCATGTAAAATTGTGTTTGAGTCAAAATATTTGATTTCATATGCCTAACTAATTGTATAAAAGCATGTTACATAATATCCATATACTTTTTTACAATTATAATAATTTATTTAATTTTCAATGTCAATAAAATATGGATAGCTTAATACATATATTTTCACTAAAATAATAATGATACATTTGGTTTTTTTTTAAATGAAATTATCTATGAGTGTAGGTATAATTACTCATATTTAGTAATATTTACGCTTTAGTTATATAAGTATTAAGTAAAATATTATTATTTATGAGTACCCATCCCACCTACTTAATGTTTTGTTTTTTTCATTAGTAGGTACCAAACAACAAAGAGTATCTTTTCGCATTGTCATAGAATTCATAGAAATAAACTTCTTTTATTTTAACTACCTATCTACTAAAATGTTTTGAATTATTCAATTATTGATAACAAACAAAAAAACAACTTAAAAATTGTTGACCTATTCTATGGGGCGTTTCCCAATGAAAGGAAATATTGGAGGCAAGTTGGCAAGTGGGGTTAACAGAATAATTGTCCCAAGGCCAAAGGCCATGTATTGGCACTATTATTGCAACTACTTACCTAAAAACAAAACAAACACTTTAAAATAGTGTTTTTAGAAATAATAAATACTACATTCCTACATATTGTTTTTGTTATGATATCCCATTAGATGATCATATATGAACATACACTTTTCGTGCAATACTATTTAATAACAAAATTTAATTTAATGCCTAATTAATTATTTTTAATACATTGGAAATATTTTGTAATTTATTATCCTCTAGTATTGAAAATAAGTTAAAATAAATAGCCATCTTCAAATTATATTATTAATAATTTATCATGGTCTTTAATAACCATCCCATTTAAATAGTAAACACCTAATTCATAGACATTAGCAAAACATTTTAGTAGAAAATAAGCAATTGACAAAAACCAGATAGAAATTATCTTGGTAAAATTTAATTAAATTATATATTTTTTACTAGACATAATAATAAGAGATTTGTTTTAAAATAAAAGTGATAGATATTAAAAAAAAGTACAGGGGTATCTAGAAATAATTAAGCAAACAAGACAAATTTATTAGGTATTTTAAGATATAAATAATTGAATAGTGCAAGTATCAATTGCGAATGCTAACATAACAATATAACCCAAGTGATCTTGATTTGATTACCATACATCACCACATTTTAATAATATAAATAGTATTATGGACTTTGGATTATTTAGTTAAGCTTTCACCAAATATTTTACAATCATTACTGAGAATAAAAGTTTATAGGTATTTTATTGTTTTAATCGTTAATATTCTATACATTTTTTTCATACCTACACTTCTAGTTACTCTTCAAGTTTAATAAAATATTATAATATTAAACAAAATATATACTAATAATACACATCTACTTAATATAAAAAAACCTCTAAACTTGAATATTTAAATATATAGCCTATAAGTAATCATTTTCTCTTTTTTATGTTTTATCATAAATAGGTACTATATATTTTTTATGCAACATATACATTTTTTTAAATCTTAATCTGGTAATTTATTTTTCGTAATAAAACAAAATATTTCTAGTAAATTATTTATATGTGAATAAATAAAAAGGTATTATTGCTTATGTAGGTAATTTATTTTAAAAATTCATAATATTTTATCACCTACATATGTTTGAGTTGTGATGTAGACAATGTAGTGACACTCGCTCTCCAATTATTATTTATAATACAATTTTGGCAGCCTTTTGGCTAAGATTTTATTTTTAAATATTCTAGATTTAAAAAGAATAAATAATATAATATATACATAGTTATTAAGTCATATTGTATTGTTAAGCTTTTTGATTTATTTTTATTTAACAAATTTATCTTTTTGATTTGTTTTTATTTAACAAATTTATCGTTTAATTTTAGATCTTATGGTTTTGCTGGGCCTTTCGTTTATTGCAACATTGTTCAAATTCTATTTTTCATTGTATTTGAATTTTGGGATGAAAGTTTCAATTGGACACCATTACATGATACGTACGTAATAATATAAAATTATCTAATTATAATGTATTTGAATAAAAATAATGAATTATTTATTCTTACATTTTATTTTTTTTTTAAGTGTAAGAACATATTCATCACAAATTCTTGGACATCAACTCATAACAAAAAGTGTCGATGAAATGGTAATTTATTAATATGAATTTATTATTCAAAATTTAATACTAAGCTAATTTTGTTTAGATTTTGTTTTGTATTTGGGTTTTTTCTTGGGCTGCAGTCCCTTTTATATGTTATGCAAATGAACATATATTTGAATTACCTATTGATCGTCTGGAACGGTTAACTTCTTATGTATCTATGATGACTGTTACATTTGTAATGGGTAAGTTAACAATTTTTTTTATATTTATACACTATTATTATTATTTTGATTTTTACTTATTGAATGATATTTTTATAGCTTATGTTATCATTTTACTTTGGATTGACATGAATTTGTTGGAGATAAAATCAAGTATAAATAATCCTAATCCAAATTCAAAAGTATCATCATATAATTATGACCTTATAGATGATTTAATTGAACCTGGTAATATAATTTGATAAATATAATATATACTAGTGCCTGTATTTTTTGGTAATTTTATTTTTATTTTAAAGACGACATACCTGATTTGGAAACTGTGTATGATGATATCTCTATTACCAGTGAATTCAAAATTGATAACTCATTTCTGAACTTTTCAGAAGCAGTAAATGAAAGTAAGTTATATACTGTTTAATTTACCTATACAAATTGTTTTATTTTTTTATCAATTTTATAGATACTATTGAAAGTGAAGAATTTTGTATTACTTCAAAAGTTGAACAAGGCGAAGAAGCTAAAGAACAAGAAATGGATGTTATATCTTTGTCATCGAGTACATTAAGTGACTTTGATGTAATAACTGAAGAGGAAATAGATTTACTTAAGTAGTGTTTTTTTTTTTTCAAAAATATTTCATAGCATAGAAATATTGCTTTTTGTAAGCAAATAAAAATAAAAAATAAATATTTTGGTAATTAAATCTTAGACGAGAATAATTTCTCTTTAGACATTTGATCCATTAAATTGAAGCTTGTGACATATATTAATTTAAGTTCCTATTTTGTGTGTTTAATATACAAACATAAAAGAGAACTTTTTTTTAATTGGCCTTATATTTATGAGAAGTCTTAGCTCAAATATTGTATTCCATGTCATTTTGAACTTATGTAATATGAAACTTTTTGGTTTCTATATGCTGAATCTATATGAATATGGCTAGTTGACTTGTACAGTATTCTTATTTTTGATGGTATATTCTCTTATGAGTTATATTCATCATACATTTACGTTATTCTTTTTTTTCTTTTTTTAGAAATCATTTAATACCACCGTAAATTGGACAATTGATCTCAAATTTGTATTAAAAATAGTCAAAAACATTATAGTGTCATTTTATAATCAAATTTCTATTATTTATTAAATGACAACTGATTTTTCGGCTTTTACATGAAACTGATTTCATACTTTAACATTTTTTTACTATCAAACCATATTATAAGTACTGTATCTGAAAGCTTATGATAATTTTGATGAGGTACTGTTTTTTATTTTCAAAATATGTCTACACAACTAATACATTTACGCTTTTTATTTGAATAATTAAAATAATGTATATTTTTTTTATACATGTTTCTAAATCATAAATTATCTTAAACAATTGAGTATAATATTTTATGTTGTCTTATTAAGTATATATTATAGTATGTTAGATTAAATATTTTTATTTTTTCGTATTTCAAAACAAAATAATTATTACAACTTGCTTGTGAAATTAGTATTAACTATAGATTCTATTTTTATCTTGGTTTATTATGTTTTCATACATTATGCACTTGTTATATACCTACTTACATGATTTATTTTAAAAGTATTTATTTTTAACTAAAATCTAAAAAATAAAATGTATTGATGAATTATATTAAACATTGTAAATCAATGGTAATTTTTCTTTTTTTGTTATTATGTTGTATAAATGAACATTTAATTGAAGTAAAATATTTTATGACCATAAGTATTTTAATGCTAGGCAGTATGCTAAAAAAGGGTTAGTATATCCCTCCACCTCTTAAAATGTATAGGAATAATTAATTTCTCACGAGATGAATTGTTTTGGTCAATAATAAACCAAAATTTAGGTTTTTGTATACCCATGATGTGAATGGTAAATAATCTCCCAGAACAAATTTTTATTTTTTATGTTAACTCAATTTCAATTTGATCATTTTGGTATGAAAATGAATTGGTAAAATTTGCACTGTTAACTTTATATCCCTTGTTTTCTATCATAGGTGTTAAGCAAACACATTGTAATAAAGATTTTAGTATCTTAATTTTTCTGTTTGAAAAGTGAATTCTGATTATATAGTATGAAATGTATGATAACCATAATAAATTGATGATATTAATAAAAATTATAAACATGTAAGAATTGTTAAAAAGATTTTGGCTTATGAGTAGTGGAGAGGTGTGAGTCTTTAACATAGAATGACTTTAAAAAAAGCCGGCTGGGAAGACGTTAAAAAAAAAATTGGGTGTAATAATGACAATATTATTAGTATTTGATACTCATATTAAGACAATATTACACTCGAACTATATAAACTGTAAATTAAAAACCAATTAAAACAATCCCAGTAAATCGTCATCTTAAACTATATCAATTAATATTTGTTTGAAAGTAGGTACAAAATTATTGTCACTGATTTCAATGTTTCTGTAAACAATTTTACAAATCTTATATTATGAGCATAGTGGTGTGAATGTTTTAACTTTGAGAATAGTAGAATAATTATGGTATCTATATGGAAGACGGTTGGTACTTTTGAGTGGTGAAACGTGTAAATTCAGTATACTTCTCCAATAAATTGAGAAAAACAAAACAAAAAAGAAGAGGAAGTGGATGTTGCTCTGCTGTACAGTAAGTTACAAGTGGGTCACTAATGGATGGTGATGAATTTTAATTCAATGATAAAAAATCATAGGATTCGCTTAACAATTTTAAGCCAAGGCGGTTTGTCAGTCAATAATATTACTTGGTAATTTAGTTTATTTGATGATATTATTATGATTAAAGTAATTTATTTTACTAGTAAGCATTATTAGAAATCTTTCAAAATGTACCAAACTTATCTCGGACTCAATTTACCTAGCCCCATTTTTATTGTTTTTTTTTTCAAAAGAGCTCTCGGTCAAAAAGACTTGCCTTCGTCCCCAACATATGTTCTCATCATATGTAATATATTATTATCGAAAGTACACAATATAATTTTTTTTCACTATCACATTTGATTTGGTTAGAAATGTTAAAATATAATAAAACTTTACTATAAATCTAACTATACTGTAAAAGTACAAATGTATTTAAATTTAAAAGTGAAAATAATTTATATTGTAAGTAAATAACTTAAATATCATATTAAATTTAAAATTATAGCAAATAAAATTACACAAATAACAAATATTATACATAATATTATATTCTGGATATTCTGGTATACATATTTTTATACAGTACAAAATCAATAATTAAATATCAAAAAAAATAAATAATAATTAACACATATAAATCACATAATATATTATATATTATATCATTACATATATTAACATATAAATCTAAAAAACATACATATAATATAAACATAAATTAGTCGTTATATATTAACAATAATATTTGTTTATTATTATTTTTTTTTTAAGATATTAAAAAAACACAAATATAATATTATACATGGTTTTGGTTTACAATTAATTTTTTTATAATTTTATAATATTAACTACAGATAACAATTTTAATATTGCAATAACGTGATCGAAAGATCATTTTTTCATAGAAGATATAAACGAGATGAAGTAAAAACTCGTTGAATAGGTTAGTAAATTAACAAAAAAAATTCAACCTAAATTCATACACAAAATATACAATACAATGATTTAACAACAAACAAAACAAGTTAGAACAGTAATAATAATAACAACAACGTGAACATTGTAAGTGTATTATAAGGTCTTGAAAACAAATAACCATTGTTGTATTTTTATAATTTAATAAAATATAGACTTTATTTCAATTTACGTTTTTTTAATTTATTTTTTATCAACTTTTCAGAAACGGCAGTATGCCAATTGTTTTCGACGCTCAACCTGGCTATTTCACTTTTAACTTCTAAACGTTTTCCATATTTTTCTGCCAATTTATTATACGTAGTACAATACATGTCACTATACTTTGTCATGGGTGGTAACACTACATTTTCGGGTATGTTAAAATTTACAAATAATATGGGAGCTCTATATCTGTCGTTAATTTTTTTTTTTAGAAATTTAAATAATTGTTTGAACGTAAATTTCGACGACTTAATCATATCGTGAATTTTTAATATGCAACCGAAACAAACGTCCGTGAAGTTGGCCTTTACACTTTTTCAAAAAAAGTCTTGCACAGTGCCATCATTTTGCAAGTAATTAGCAAGAATTTGCAAGTCCACTTCCAAAATTTTCAAGTCAAAAACAAAGGAGTTATAAGGGGTGGAACCAAGGAAGGGCCAACTTTACGCAGCCCTGAGTCCTGACATGTTGTCAGAAACTTTCAAAACACTCGTTATAATTAGCAAGAATTTGCAAGTCCACTCCCGAAATTTTCAAGTCAAAATTATACTTTAACATATTATATTACATAATTATGGCATTCACTATAACGTACTTATGCTAAAATAATTAATTTTAAAAAATAATTTAAAATGAAAAAATTTAATGTACAATGTAAATCATTTAAGAATTTATTGTAGGTTGTTTAAGATAAATCTAATTACTTTTTTCAATGTAAAAAATTAGTTTTCTTTAATTCAACTAAATTGAATAATTATATTATTTACTGTAACTCACCTGTATTGTGTGTCTACGTATGAATGCATGATCGTCAAACTACATCATATAAATAGATCTACACGTTACCTACTCTTGCAAAAAGACAGTCTTGTATTCTTTTTCCAAAGACATTGATAGTTTATATGTGTAATCAAACGGCATACATAAACTTAAACATTTTGTATTCAAGGTTAAATACTTACTTAGGTATTCAAAAACACACGTATACATTTTCTTCTTTTATTTGTACATTAATACTCATAGATTTTCATACAAAACCTTGGCCCTTCCTTGGTTCCACTCCTTATAACTCCTTTGTTTTTATCTTGCAAATTTCGGGAGTGGACTTGCAAATTCTTGCTAATTATAACGAGTGTTTTGACACCAGTTTTGAAAGTTTCTAACAACATGTCAGGGCTGGGGTTGAAAACTTTGAAACATCGTAGGGGTTGGAATTTCGACTTGCAAATTTCGGGAGTGGACTTGCAAATTCTTGCTAATTATAACGAGTGTTTTGACACCAAAAGTTTTGAAAGTTGCTGACAACATGTCAGGGCTGCATGAAGTTGGCCCTTCCTTGGTTCCACCCCTTTTTATTTTTGACTTGCAAATTTTGGGAGTGAACTTGCAAATTCTTGCTAATTACTTGCAAAATGATGGCACTGTGCGCAACTTTTTTTGAAAAAGTGTAAGGGCCAACTTCACGGTGGTCCGAAACAAGCATCAACCGCAGTGTATTCGTCTATCAAAATGTTCATAGATTGAGGTTTACCTACGTTACATAACGCACATAACTTCGTTCGAAATTTAGTTCCTAACGTTTTATTGGTGATTATGCTGAAAGTCCCACAACCGTCTAGGATTTTTGACCGTTCGCGTAGTTCCCTTTCAATAAATACACTTCGTACTGTTTTTTTTAACAATGTTCCGCACGTTAGTTTTTGTGAATTTTAACAGTTTTTCAACTTTCACAGTGTTATCACGACGATTATTTTCATTATTATTATTACTATTATTAATATCATTATTGTTAGACGTTGATGGCACGTCTTTCGACGTGATTTTTTCATTTTAAATAGATCTTTTATTCCATAACGCGTTTGCACACGACACCTGATCCGTTCAGACACTGATGATTGTTGTGAATAGATTGGAACTCGTAAGTCTTGAAGTAATAAATCGATTTCCCGGATGTCGATTTTCGTAGGATCATCCGAATCGTATCCGAGAAAACTGCTTTCGGAACTGTCCGAATCATACGTACCGCTGCTTTGAACATTTGACCGACGTTCGTAACCCTCGTCATCGCGATCAGTATCGGAATTTGATACCGAAACATTTCGGGCCCGTTTATTTTTACTTTTAGAATATTTTTTAAACCGACAATTTCGTTCGGTTCGGATCACTTCAGATTCGTCGTATCTATAATCGTAATTTT